GCAACTATATTATCAAGTATATTACTTCGCAAAGTTATATGTAGCAAGTACATTACTTTTTTTTGGTACTTTCCTGTTAAAGGGAACATTCATTATTATCGATGATTTTTTTTGCGATATATCGATATTTTTGTTTACCGATCCATTACATATTGACAACTGATCTTGTTTAGGCTAAAACAGTCTATTATATGGATTAAGAAATGAAAGTGTTCTAAGCTAACCTAACATAACCAACCAAACCTGCTGGAAATTTAAAAATTCCTTTTTATAAAAGAAAAGGCAATTTAAGCATGGAATGTTACACAGCAAGTTTGGTTAGTTATGTTAGGTTATTTTTTTTAGTTTCATTTATTTTATTGTTTGTTGATACTGAACAATATTTATCGCAGTTGTCAGCTGATATGTTTCAATTTGTCAATATCGATATATCGAGAAAAAAATCATCGATAATAAGGAATGTTCCCTTTAACAGGAAAGTACAATTTTTTTCTTTAACTACCGGTAACATAGTGATTTTTTATTAATTATTTAATTTGTATGGTGATAACAAATTTAATTTTATGGTGTGCATCGTACACATTTTATAAGTCTAACAAACGTACAAGATGCATAATAGATGTATGAAGTTTATCTGATTTCCATTTACTGCTTCGCACCAAATACTGTATATGGCTTAAACAATTAGTTAACTTGCTAAACTGTTTTAAGCTTGATCATTCATTAAATAAGCATGATGCTATTTCGTATAACTCTATTTTTCCAAGAAATAATATTGAATTCAAACCAACAAATAGATTTTGTTTGCATGACTTACTCTTTGATATAAATAAGAAGTTTTGTTAACAATAAACTTTAGACAAGCAACACTTTTGCAAAAGAATATTTTCGAGTTTAACTGATAATCAGATTTACTATAAAAACGTGGAAACCCCGTTACTGTGTACTGCACTTAGTATGGAAGAAACAATGCAACGGTCATTTCAACTTTATTGTTTACTTTAGTCTTTAAAGACTGTCGACTCAAGTAGAAGGCTACAAAGCCGTTTCCTCACTCCTAGAGCTTGTTTATTGAGTCTGGCCCGTTTACTGTATTTTTACTTCTCGTCGACATTTTATTGTTAAAGCTTTTAAAATGATTTGCTGCACAGGTTTCCTCTGCCTCTACAACACAATAGTTATGTGTTTTCTTTTGTAATGAAGTATTCAATTATTTTCAATGATGTTTAACGGAAACAATACCAAATATTCCATAACTTCCTAATTTATTAATTGAATTTCCTTGAGTTCTTTCTTCAATAAAGGTTTTGTGCTGGGGACAATGGACATTGTCTCAATTTGTTGAAAGGACAGATAAAATTATAATGTTCAAAAGTTCGTGAATGGCTTGAACTTTCAGATGTAGATCTATTGTCTCAAAGGTCAAACTGTGATTACTTAAAACTTATCAATATAACATTTTCTTGAAGTTCGTTGAATACTTTTCATCTACATTTGTGAGTTTTCTGTTGTGGAATTATGTATTACTATGAGATGAGTCTGCTTATGCAAAAGTTATGCAAGATTTATGTTAGAGAAATATATTTTCAAAGCAAAGAGTTCTTCTACTCTTGCATCTACTTAGATATGCTATGAAAACACTTAATTTGGGTTCAAAATTAAATTTTTTTGTAGCATATAATAGTGTCTCATAGCAGGATTTTGGACATATGTGTATTTCTTAATATATTGATAGATATTAATTAGTGATGTATTTTTTATTTTAAGAAATAAAGTGGAATAGAGCGATTGACTCTCGTTCACAGTTTTAAAATAGTCCAAATGTGTTGAGCTATATAAAGTTGAGAATTTATGGTAAAATAATTACGAGTTTGTTACGAAACATGAATTTTTATTGTTCTCGAGAACTTTAAAAACGTGATCCTGACCAAAGAAACAGTAGATATAGAAAGTCCCTTAAAATATTTAGGTTAAGCCACACTATTAGGCCCCGGGTACGATACGAGCGGCGAGCGGCATGAGCGGCGCCGCTCTGACATCGGGTCTCATTTAGTTGCGTGTAAATTTGTTGAGGGTGGCCACGATAAGTCTGAGCGGCGAGCGGCGGTAAGCGGCACCGCTCAGCGCCGCTCATGGTTCCAAGTCAAAACCGATTTTCGCGAAAACGCCGCTCGCCGCTCAGGTGAGTCATGCTTCAGTTCGGCCTAAAATGACAGGGAAACAGCAGCAAACATGCGATACGGGTCGATACGTGAAGTGCAGTCCAGGGAATGTTTGTGGAATGACCAGCACGGAAGTTTTAAAACACTTCAGTCACCAAAAAAGTATGAGAAAAAGTTATGGTTAAGATTTTTTTCCAAAACTAAGTTTTTCTTTAAAGGCAAACAATTGTCAAATAGCAACAATAGTTGCAATACGTCTTGCAGGTAAGCATAGTTTACCATTTTCGACTAAACTGACTCATAGAACTGGGGAAATTTGATGAGCGTTATAAATGTGCCGCTTGTATCGTAGCCACCACTGCCGCTCACGTGCCGCTCAGGTTGCCGCTCGCCGCTTGCCGCTCACCGCTCGCCGCTCGTATCGTACCCGAGGCCTTATTGGAGAAGGAAGATAGTGTTTTTAATTTATATTGTGTATTTTGTAAGTCTCCTTTAGCTTCACAGAGGGTCATAACATCTAAAAGCCGAGTTTGGGAAGTAATGCAGAAGGTTTGATTGATATTGTGCTTGGACCCCTACAAATGGATATCTGTTGTCTCTGTTAGTGCAAATCGCAAACACATCCATCATCGCTCTCCGTCTTACTTGTCGATATCTTCCCCTCAATCCCCCCCCCCCCTCATCACAATGACCTGGAGGAGTTGTGTATGTCTTTAATTGAATCTATAGTTTTCATCTATGTTGAATCACTGCATATAAATTATTTGGTAGCTATAAAAAACATGTTCGAACTTACTATGTCACACTATGTGTGAAGTTGTCACAATTACTATTTAGCCGTGTTATTTCTAGTTGATGTAATGAAATTTGTTGGTTTTGATAATTAATTTTTGTAAAATAATTTCCGCTATTGAACCAAAAAGCTGTTGAGACTTATTCTTATAGGTTTTCATAACTGCATAAACATGAAAACTTAACACAATGGAAGACTGAAAGGGCTGTTAAATATGCTTATCAAAAATTAATAAAATGTGTATTTTGTTTCTTATTTTACGTTTACTATTTTTCAGATTGAATTACTGACATTCATTATTTAAATAGTACTGAATGAGGGTTTATTTTTGTACACATAATATGACTAAAAAAACAATAATAATAATTCCGTGTTACAAAACAGTAAATTAATGAGCTATATTATGCAAACAATTATGACGACTGGTTTTGCAAATGATGAAGTCTTGCTTTACGATCATTCCTTAACGTAATGGAAACGCACGTAAGTAATTGCGTACAAATTAATAAAAATTTCAATAGTAAAATCTTAATTCGATCACATAATCGTCTAATTTCTATTAGGAACAGTTTTCCAATTAATAGAAAGTGCTCCCTGCTTGCATGGGCACCCTTCTTATTGTTATTGATAGGGAACTGCTGCTTTATGTAAGCTATAAACATGTGAAAACTTACTGTATCGGTACTGAACACGCTTTATATTCAATAATTAATCTTTATTATTAAAACAGCATTTTGTCACCGTCAATATGAGCTACGTTTGATTAAGACTACAATTAATTAGCCAATCCTGAATATTCATTGGCCCTATTACCATTTCAACAGGAGCAACCGCATAGCTAGAACATTACATTATCATATGCGGTAGATAACATTGATGTACGCGTATGTTGATGCGTGTAGTAGCTCTCAACAATGAGTTACAGGATAACAGGTTGCAACTGTGATATTTCATGTAAAATCACTGTTTCGTTACTTTTCTGATTACATGATACAAATAAGAATTATTTTGTTCTTATGTTTGTATTTAACTGGCTGGAAAATATTATATGTTTAATATGTTTTAAATTATATCCACTGAAATTTTTACATGATTGCAATATCCATTAGGTTTTTATTGATTAATCATAAATGTAATAGGAAATCAGGTAATTATTATATGATCAAATTCGTCAATCTGATATGATGAAAATAATGGAATCACATTATTTTCTATTATTCTATTATTTGGGTTCAGTTTAAGAGCAAATTTATTTTTAAAAAATTTTAAGGGTAATGTTTCAAACTTTTATAACTTTGTAAAAACCAATAATTAGTGTAGTTGTCTTTTGATGACAAAATGTATTATTTACGTTTTTAGTAGGATTCATGAAAATAAACGAAATTTCCAAACACTATAGACTCATGGTAACTGCCAAACGCTACACGGGCTCAAATTTTCGAAATAAAAGATATTATTTCCATGATACTCATTACACGGCGCTGTTATAAAGCAGTGAGTTAGAATGAAAGACTCGTATTTTAAAACGATATCTGACACAAAAACAAAATTGTATTGTAAATATCCTAGGTTATTCTTTAGTATTAACGGTAGCCGATCTTCTTTGGTTCTATTTCCACCAAAAATAATATATATTTTTTATTTCCCACCCACTTTAAAGATCAACAACACAAAGTAAAAAGGCAAAATATATTATCTTTCACCAAAACTCGACTTACCGGTATCAATAATGTAGATTTAATTTAAACCAAAACACTTTTTGTTGTTTTAAAAGCAACAAGCTATTGATTGTTGTGTTGACTTGTCCATGATCCATTCAAAAATAAGTATTATTTTTGTGGAAGATAGACAAGTTACTTGATCATCTTGATATTACGATTCTAGCTTGTATTTAATATCACTTTTAGAATAGCTAAAACTACCCAAGACATTTTGATAATACTTTATATACAATTTATCAAACATAATTTACAGTTTGATTACACCCTGAAGCATGTAAAAGATAGGAATAACTGTGACATATGTTGCTGCCCTTCACAACAACTCTACATTACATAGAACTGCTCCATGGGCAATGCTTCCTTGGGCCCTTCACCCTCAGAGTCTGAAGGGTCGCTCTTCTTTCTTCTGATACAATCCTCCAGTGTTGTGCCGACTATTCCCGTTATCAGGCCCTTTATGTGATGATGGTACCGAATATATTCCCGTTTCATTCCATAACCTATCAGGTCATTTCCAGAAATCATCATGTCGTCCGATGGACCGTCCTCTGAAAATATTAAAGATACAAGAAGTACATAACATAATTTTCCCTAGAGTTACCTGACAAAGCGGGCTTTCTTGTAATGATTATGGCACGAAAAGTACATAATTGCTCCATTTACTTACATTTGCCGCACCGAATGTTTTGCCTCACTCCCGTATTCCAACCAAACACACAAAACCGTGTGCTTTTAATATGCACGTAATACGAGCACACTTGAAAATATGTTGGCACCACTTAAAGATACTGAGACTATGAGCTGGTGCAGTGTTTCTCATTTCGTTCAACACTTAAATTTAATCTAACCTAAAATCGTGTTGTATAGTGTTTGAAAGACTAGTTATTACTTGGATTTATAGTAACTGTATGAGAAAAATATGTGTAACACGAGCGCAAAGTGTCTTTGCTGCACTTGAGAAACTTTCCACACCTCTAGTTACACAAATAACTATTTAAATGTGACTTTTCGGGTGGAGTTAACTAATACATAGCCTACAACAAAAGGCTGACTTCAACTCTAGAAGGACTATTACATACATAGATAATTGTCATTGTTGATTTTGGTCTCAAAGAATTTATAATCTATAATTATAGAGGATGTGCAATTTCAAGCAAGTAGCGAGTGAAACATTGACTCCTTATCATGTATTTAAAACTAAGCCTAAAACTAAATCCACAATTTTCATTTGAATCCAACCAACGTGTATACTCTTACCCGCTATCTCGCCAACGTATCCAATGTAAATGGAGTTCAGGTTGGCAGTAATGTCACCAGGATTGTGTGACGGCTTCCTAAACCAACCTCGTCCCTCGTAGATGGTTCCGTTTTCGTCTATCATGAAACTGTCATGTTGTTATTGGTATATTATGAAGCTACTTTTATGTTTTGTAGCCATTCTTAATTTTAATTTCTTTTATATACGTTCAAGAAATTTACTTAGCATGCTAGGTTAAACGGTTACTATGCTGGGGATGTACATAGTTTAGATGAACACGTTAAGTATTACAAATATAAAGGCAGATCACAGTATAATATTGTGCAATTATTTTACCCTACTGGCTGTGATATTTTATGACGCCAATAAAAAATTTAATAAACAAATTCGGTTAATCAGATAATTCAATGCTTATAAGTATATAGTGATAGACAGGTGCAATAGAGACAATCAAAATGTCATTGAGCTAGGAAAACAATAACAATATAACGATGGATTTGACTCACTTGTACTGTATATCAGGCATGTATCTCTGGTACATGTGGAACTGTTGAAGTTCCCTCAATGCTTTGTAAGACGCTTTTTTGTCTTCCAATGGGAACTTGAAGTCCTGTGTTGCCATGAAGACTACCAGAGATACAGGCAGGCTGATAGGGTCTTCGTGGAAAGGCGCTTTGGCACCCCACGTCTTCCTGGAAACTATGTTGATAGGTTTGTCCTCCAACTCTGTGATAAATACAACTTGTAGTGATAATCACAGTGTATCATATACGTACAATCAAAACAGTTGATTTGACTGTCTAACCTAGTGATCCAAGGAAATGTTCGTTATTCTAACATTGAAGATACCTTGCTTGAAAAAACTTAAATGTCAATTTCATTGCTTTGTAGCTTGATGACACCTCTCAAGAATTCATTCAATTATTAACTATCTGTTACCCGCGGGCTTCTCCCCGTTTGACTTCATAAGTATTAATAAAACTATTGATTACCGCTCCGGTTTGGTTGGCTTTTCGAAATGCTTGTCATGGTTACTTTAAAGATCATGTCCTTTAGGCCTGTGGTTATATTGGCCCTACTTGTGGAAAAAATCTGATCAATTGGTCAAGTAGTTTCCACATTATTGACATACTGCAAACATGCTTATCTACAATATTAGTTCCTTCCATCAAAGTCTTTGGCTTCATTAGTAAAATAAACTAGGAAATAAATTAGAGTCTCACTCATTTACATTTTGAATGCAATGACGATTATTTAGGTCATTAGGCGCACTAAGATAAGTAACTGATCAGTAGCACCGTGAACTAACTTTCCACTGAAAATTTCAGAAAGACGGCTTGAAATAATCAAACTGATGTAAAAACAACGAAAATAAAATAAATATGATTTTATTTGATTTAAATCAATTTTATTTGACCCTAACTAGTTGTGGAACAGTCTCTATAGGAATTTGTTAAGTTTCTATCAAAATTATGCATTATTATGGTAATATATCCGCTAATATTAATTATTGGCGTAGTTAACATGAGTAAATAACTACTTACAAAATATTAAAGACAAATTTGCTGCTTACTTGCGTTATTTGCACCCATCTTCTTCTAGCTTAACTTTGTCAAGGCATCTTAAAACAATTGACAGTTGGCCACATATGTCAAAACATAACCCAAACAATCTTCAAGTAGAATTGCTCATTTACAAATCCGCTAAGTACAATCTAAATATTAAAATTAGAATTGTAAAACAACAGAACACCACTAAAACTGTTCCACTAACATACACCAGCAACAGCTATGCAGTGCTTCGCGTCTAATGTGTTCTATATCTTTCATAGCTAGCGTTCAGTAACTACAATTGATAACGAATCTATTACATTTGCCAAGTCTTATCATGGCGGGAGCTAGTTTCTCTTGATGTAGATAGGTTTTACTGATTGTGATTAATTCTGATGAATTATTTCACCGTATCCGTGATGTAGGCCTACAGTATACATAACAAAAAGACAAAATATTAATTTTGCATTTGAATGGGAAAAGTTACATTTTTGACGCATTAGTTACTAAATATAGCCCCAGTACCCAAGTATCTTTAATCCCTTCAAGAGGAAGACAGTTTCTTAAAGGTTAGGGAACGAAATTTCCTACACTCCTTGTACAATTAGGATAAATGTACAAGGACTATGGGAATAAATGTACAAGGAGTATGGAGATTCAAGACTTTTCTGAACTTTCTTTTTTTTAGACAAGAATTGTATCGTGTCAATTGGGTCTGACGATTATTGGAGTGTCCCATTATCATTCCTATATTTTTTGTTCATTTAAAATCTTGTAAGTTTAAAAAAGTTAGTTAAAAAATTTTTAAGTTTTAAAAGCTTTATCGATCAAAATTCTCACTTATGTATTGTGCCTTTGATGTAAAAAAATCCTATTCAATAAAGAACATGTTTTTACAATGTAAATAGGGTTTGACATTTATGTAAGTAACTATCATCGAAAAAAATTTGTAAAACTATACAAAAGGATGTTTACTATACTGTCTACGAAAATACTTGAGCTATCTAGGACCCTTAAAAACTGTTATTTCAAGGTATATTAAGCATCTTTTTGTATAGTTTTGACAAAAAACGTCAAACCCTATTTACATTGTAAAAAATATTTACTTATTAAATAAGATATTTTAACATCAAAGGCACAACACAATAAGTGAAAATTTTGATCGATAAAGCTTTTAGACGTAAGTCTAAGCGAGATTTGATTAATGGATGAGAAATTTACACTGTTTTGAAAGTGAGTGGGTCATATATTTTTCTTTTAATATTTTTTTATTCAGAGTTGAACAAAGTTGTAATGAAGGACTCCTGTTTATGTTTGAATAGTTTACTGTAGATTATACCAAATATATGTTATTTATTGATCTATTTGATCAAGTTTCGTATTTTGACATAAATATATTCTAACCCTTCTGATAATGATCCAAGGAAGGCAGGAATCACAGCTGACAGGGTGTACCTGGTAATTGTAGCTGTACAATGTACATATGATGGGTGATCACGCAAGTGCATTATCTTGCATTATTAAGTCAATGATCCATTATGCTGATATCTACACCTCTCCGATAGCTAAACCGTGTACACGTACAGTGTCAAACTATCACTATATCAGCTTTGAGTTTAATTTGTTTGATTAATTTTGCTTCAAAAACATTTTTCTAAAAATTTGTTTCACAACATTGATTAATGAACCCCTAAGTAGAATAGTCTTATATTAAACGTATGTGTTGGGCGATATTTACTATGATCAATAAAAAAGTACGCAAAGATTAAAAGTAACCCAATCTATTTATTACAATTTTAATTTAAGTATCCATAACAGTATTTTAGCACCAATTTTTTTCTTTATTACTACAGGAAGTTATCATGACTAAAAATCATGTTTAGGTACTAAATCAAACATGCTATAAATATAGTGCTTAAATTTATAAAAATGAAAATTAATAAATTAAAACTTGTATAGCCTTTATCAAGTAAAGCAAGCGTATTATGAATTAAATGAAAGCTCAGTCTCAAAACAATGTATCATGGTTTTTAAGTTGTTTTGGGATTTCGTGTAATTTTATCTACACTCGTGTTTTCAAGATTTGTACATAAAATTATAAATTTCGTGTTATGCATAAATAAACCTAGATCATGAAAATAACGGTATATTCTACATAATAGGTAATGATAATTATAACATGTTTTATTAGTAACGCTTATTACAGTAGTACATAATACATTTCACTTAACATCTTTGTTGTTGATCACCAGCTAAGTTTTAAATGTAAAATTAATTTTAAGAAATTTACCTAACTTAAGATTCTTTCCAGGTGTTTTATAAAGTTTTAACGATACAAACCGTTTCTACGAATTTGTGATCGATTATTTAACTGTCAAGGCTTGTTTAAGTTTGGATATAATTTACTTTGGTCGTCATTATGAATGTTATAAAACTCTGTTCATTATAGGCTAAACTTGTGCCGACTCAATTGGTTGCGTATAAAATAAATATGTCAAATTGTAATTATTTTTCATAGCATTGTAAGACGAACGTTTAATTTTTTTATTGTAAAAATTTAAATAAATAATAATAAATGATAATTTATATATAAATTAAATGAGTGAACTTGTTTGCCAGGTTAATCTATGTAAGTCGAAATGATTTATATCTGCAATTCTATGGCTAAATATTCTAACACTTATGTAACAAAATACATTCTTTCGTCTAAATTATATTCTAGATACTTTCTAGAGATATATCCGTAAGCCAAGTGGAACTCAATGAATTCTCTGTCCGTTTCAACCATCTCGTCTGGGCAATAAAGTTCTAAAAAACAACACACATTTAAATTTCAGTTAATTATTGGTTTCAAACAAAGTAATGTTGCGTTTAGTTAAATTTTTTTGTCATGAAAGGATAAAGTACAGTATTTTTAATTGGATAAAATAAATTTTGGATATATTAAAGTATCTGTATTTGTTTTTACTTGCGTTAATTTTCTATTAAATACATAATATTACTATTGATGTCATAGAATACATGTTTTACCAAAAAATCTTGTCGAATTTGAAGCTAAATATGACAAATACTTACTATTGAATGTTCCCACAAACCCAATATAGATACTTGTAGCTGCTAGATGCCGGTACTTGGGTGGTAAATGGGGCTGAAACTTCCATCCCCTTCCTTCATACACCTTTCCGTCACCCCCTACCAAAAAACTGGAGGTTAGTTCTACAGGAAACTACTTTACCTATGTGTTCAAACATGATAGGTCATTCATTTATAACTCTACAATGAGCTTTTAATGAGTAATGCTAAAGTAATCACTTAAGTGTTTCCGAATATTGGTTTTGTAAATAATTCAGAAGATTTAATTAACTAGACTTGTCAATGTGTGTCAATTTAGTACATTATGTTAGAGAGATCCTCAAAAATTTCGAAAACCCTCGGCACTACTTGAACTTAACATAATTGTGAGTATAAATTAAGACAACTGAAATTGTATCAGTTATACTTATTTACGTCCTTCTTGCTTTTTATTCAAACCAACTGTACTGCACTATTACTAGCTTACTAATATCGCTTGAGGGTGATATCGAATACAGTAATATAGGTAAGCTTCCAAAAAGTACAAAGATGTTTGTGGTTTATCAAACAATTTTGGAGTGAGATTTATAAATACATTGATTGTAGAAAGGATATAATTTTTTGATATATTTAATATTATATTTTTATCCTTTCAGGTTTTCGGGACACCAAAGTATAATAATAACTGTGAGTAAAATTAGAATCGTTGCTTTACTTTCTAATAAATTGTTTGACAACAATGTACGTCATAAGCCCTTGTCAGTAATTATAGAAATTTCCCCCTGTAATTCAGATTCTGATAAGTCTTGGAACCTACCTCAGCATATTTCCACTCCATCTAAAGTTTCCTTTGAATTAAGGGCGTATAGTGATTGATTATTTTAGGTCATAAAAATGCTACACTCCTTTATATTTAAGGCTGTTCGTTTCACCTATTTGTTCTAAAATGCCGCACGCAAATCTTACTCCTATATTTCAATAATTTGTTGTTTTACTTGGCATTGGTTGAGACCAAAATCTGAATAGTGACAATCAATCACCTGCAAAATACCTCCACATTTAACTTTAGTTGTACCCTCCTACTTCATAGCAGCTCTTCTCTTACTTGTATCTGATCTCGCCGATTTTGTGTTGCATGATGGCCCGAACCTGCAGATCGTTCAAGGCTAGTTTACAGTCTCCCTTGAACACACACGGGTCAGTACTGGTGCAGGAGTAGAACAGCTGGGACACTGGTAGGGTGAGAGGAAGCCCGCCAAAGTCCACCTCGGAGGCCCGCCACAGCTCCCGCGTTACAACCGTCAGTGTCATGGCGGCTGGAAATTAAAATTGTACTATAATATTAAAACTTGTCCGAAATGGAATTATCTTCAGTGTACAAGATAGATTTCTTATCAATATTAGGTTATAACACAGCTCCAATGTCACTATCATCGTCATGACGGCAACTGGAAATACAAATTAATATCAGTGCATGTTTAATCAAAAAGGAGTATATGCCTGGTGTACAGAAACCATAACTAATGGCAAAAGCTTGCATTTAGTAAACCTACACGGCTCTTAAAACCTTTGTGAATAAAACTGAGGAGTATATGAAAAATTTCTATAAACCCTGGGTCAGGTTTTGACTTGGTTTCCGCCTTAGGACAGGTTGTCATCTGGACGTAAAGACTAGTCGACGTTTTTATTCATCGATTCGGGCATACTTGTAAAAATAAACTACATTAAATTCCAAATACAAAGTCAACCCTAATACATTGACATCCCAAATTAGGTTTGGACCATTATGTATCTTAAGTTAAATATGCAATTGAATTTGTATCATGATTGAATTGCACGGAGGACTTCAATCGTTAAATTTAGTTCATTCGTAGCCCATTAAGGCATGTTTGACCAATTTATAGCCTTTAAGCTAAAATCGTTAACACCATGCCAATTCACAGTGTAAATTTGTTCTAAACGAACTGCCAAACACAATGTACTTGTGTTGACACCAACAACTATGCTATCTATTATAAAGCTCTACAACGCGACTACATGCTGTGTTACTATCAATAATTCAGCCACAACTCAGCCAGATGTCAACATATTGTGAATAATGTATTCTGAATATACATAACTGCTGTCATGGTAGAATTGATATACTGCAACAGCGAACTTGTACACTACTCTGGGAATATTAC